TCAGAATATTTCATGAAAGTGTTAATGAACCCAAACATCTGCAACTATTATGGAATTTTATTGGACTAATAAAAGTATTACTGCAATTGATATTTTTATTTTTGCCTTATGGCCAACAGAGGAACAACAATGTTTTAGTCTGTATTAAGACTCACTGGACAGGGAAAATAAGAAAGACGACAGAAAAAAGGGAGTTTATGTTGAAAAGAAAGCATAATGTCATAAGGATCATATGGTGTTACTGGAGTGCACTGGAGTTGGGTGACTATAATACATTTAAATGAATGAGTGAATAAATAAATAAATAAAATGGTTACTTAACCTTCAAGGAGTGATGAAAGGGTTAAAGCTGTCTTTTCCTATCAAATACAGTCATGTGATTTTTACTGTTGTAGCTGCATTAGAAGTATTCATTAATATGGCAATTAATGAAAAATTAAAATGAATGAGTCTTATTTGTTTCATGTGTAGGAAGTAAAAACAAAACAAAACAAAAAAAAGATGAGGAAAGGAGGAAGGATGTGGTTGTATAGAAGTATGGAGAGCAGGACTAGGCAAGTTAAGAGAGTGGTAAAAAACCAGAGATCAAACAATGATAAAACTGAGTGAGATGAAATCTGGAGTTAACTAATCAAGTGATGGTAGGGCAGGCTTAATAAATCATCACAGGAAAAAGGTACATGAGAAATCCTTAAACTGTTATATATGTTACATTTAAGATGGATCAGACACATGTGTTTAAATATAAACATAGCTTATACATTATGCAGATTAGTAATCACCTTATATGTTTGTTGATTTATTAATATCCTACTACAATCTAGCAACTCTTGGGTGACTTATATTGTATATAGCAAATCATAACATCCACGGTACATTTTAAAATAAATAAAATCAGAACCCCCTTACAAGATCAGCAAACAGAAACAAAAATAAATGTGGTGCAGTGCTTAAATAAAAAGAATGCCTTCCAAAATAGTTCTGTTTTCAATAGTTCCTGAAAGCTTGTGGGAAGGGGAGTGAATCTGATTTCCATATGAAAGCCATTCCACAGCCCTGGTGTCACTACAGAAAAGCAGTACCTTCTAGCTTTGCATCCCTCACCTCCTGGAAGTGTTGGGACTATAAGCAACTGCTCCCTACGAGATCTAGTGGGTTGGAACAATTCTGGCTGGAGCAGGCAGCCCTGCAAGTATGCCAAGCCGTAATGAATTTTAAAGGTCAATATCTGCACCTTAAAATGTACCCAGAAACACATCAGCAACCAGTGCAGGGCTCAGAAAACTGCTCCCATTGTGTTCTGTGCTCCCACTGCTGGGAGGCAGTAAGTATGCTGACCACTGCATTCCGAACAGTTGCAGTTGCAGTTACTGCTTTCTGAGTAATCTTTGAGGGCAGCCACAAGTAAAGCATACTATAATAGTCCAACCAGGTGGTAATGAGGTATGAATTACTGTAGCCAAGTCCTGCTGCATCAGGTAAGATCACAATTGGAGCAGCAGCTGAAGGTGGGCAAAGTCCCCTCTAGCCATCAATTCCATCTGCTTCCAGCAGGAACTATGAGTCCAGAAGGTCTCCCAAATTGCAAACCTGCGCCTTCACAGGTAGTGCCTGTCCACACTAGCATCTACAAAGAATTCTAATGTACGAATAGCAACTCTGTCTCACATGGGTTCAACTTAGTCTGTTCTCTCCCATCCAGACCTTCATAGCTTCCAGGCACAGGGATAGAACATCAACAGCATCTCCACTGCAGCCTGGGGTAGTGAGATAAAGTTCAGTGCTATAAGCATACTAATGATACCACATCCCAAACCATCAGATGACCTCACCCACAGGCTTCATACAGATATTAAAGAGCAAAGGAAAGAGACCCAAACCCAAACCCACATATTAGAGGCCATCAGGCCAGCCTCTCATTTCTTCTTTCCAACTGAAACTGCCTATTTAGGAAGAAGCAGATCCACTACAAAAGTGTCTCCAATCCCCAACGGGCAGTCCAGTAACATGCCACAATCAACAGTATCAGCTGTTGCCAAGAGGTCCAAAAGAATGAGGATGACTCCACTACCCCCTGTCAGGTCCCAACACTTAAGAGAGTAACCAATACTGTTTCTGTTCCATACCTAGGCTTGAACTCCACTACCCCCTGTCAGATCCCAACACTTAAGAGAGTAACCAATACTGTTTCTGTTCCATACCTAGGCTTGAACTCTCACTGAAAAGGGTCCAAATTATCTACTTCATCTAGGGTGCTGCAAAGATGGTCCACTATCCATTTCAACTACCTTTCTTAAAAAGGGGAGGTTGGAAACTGGATATTGAGTGTGCAGAGGTTTATAAATAAAGTAGTGATTACTTGAAAAGGTTTGTCTGGCAATTTTTGCATGCTCCAGAAAGCCAGAAATGATAACAAGCAAAGTTTAAACAGTATCATAAAAACATACACACATGGATAATTTTTTTAAAAAATTCATGTCCTCAAACAGAGCTTGATTGCTCATGAACAGAAGTGGCTTGCCACAGCCTTCTTCAGGCATTTCGACTTTCCAGTCTAGGTTACAGCCTTGGCATTCCCAGAAAATCTTCTACTGAAGTACTAACCAGGGCTGCCTTGCTTAGCTTCTGAGCTCAATCTAAATCAGCTAGATACTGCCACCTGCTGCGGCAGAACAGATATACCCTTTATAAAAGTTAGCATCCATCTAAAGACGCAGGTAAACATAGGCTGAATTTTGCACAGTAATTAGATCTATCAATTCCTGATCAGTAGAGCACACTTCTTTCTTCTCCTTGAAGACAAGATATATGCTATACTTTTCAACCTATAAAAACTATTGCTGACATTTAAAATTAAGAAATACTTTCAGAAAAAGCCTAGTATCTGATTACAGATATTACAGGGAGAAATAAACGGATAATGGGGGAGATGGGCGGGGGACAAATTTAATAAATAAATAAATAAATAAAAATAATTTAGCATATCTCTCTTTGCACTAACTGTATCCAAAACAGATACTACAGCACCACTTGCTTGCAGTAAAAATTGAATGGACAGAGCAAAAGCCAGAAGACTGCATCACACACAAAAATGCAACAAACTGCAATTTTGTATCGTTAATATTTTTTGTGACTGCAGCAGTTCTTCCTACTATAGTGCCCTGTTGATACACAATTCAGAGATGACTGTAGCCTAAAGACAAAGCACATGTGTTGCATACCAGAGACCTGATTTAATCCTAGCATGTTGAGATAAAACTAGAAAAGGCTCCTACCTGAAGCTCTGAGACTCTTCTGCCAGTGAGTGTCAATTATATTGAGCTCAAAAGATCAACAGCCTGACTGAGTACAAGGCAATCACAGATATGCCAGAGGACCTACTTTCTAGCAGAGCCCAGACCAGACCAGGTAAGTGGAGGTAGATAAGGAAAAACGCTGGGAAGACTCAGGATGGTTGGGTAGACTCACTGGTCCCTAGCTTCAAGCACAGCATATCCAACTAGTCTACCCACTTTAATGTTACCAGGGTAGCAAGTGCACCATGAAGGATGTTGAAAGGAAGCCACTTGGAATATTGGCTGGTGTGCTGGAGCACAGGCCATGCAGAAGGGACTGGGAAAGGGAGTCAAGACCCTCTAGATCAGTGTTGTCCAAACTTGGCCACATTAAGATGAGTGGACTTCAACTCCCAGAATTCCCCAG